AAATTAGCATGTTTGAAAAGGAACAAAATAATAGATAGGTTCAAGTTATAGCTAAGCATGCTAGACAATTTCAAAAATATATTTTTAATCAATGATAAATCAAACAAGCCCTAAGTGGGTGCAATATTTCTAAAATAGCTTGTGTGTGTGTGTGTAATATTATAGCACAATAAAAAAATAATTATTGTCACCTCTTTTTCAAGCTAAAATTTATATGTTCCATAATATTCACAGAACTACCAACACAAATGCTAGTTTACAAAAATTAATAATAATAAATATATTATTTAATAAGTCTTGATAATTTATTTTATTCAAAAATTACTTTGACTGCTCCTAACATTCCCTATTTAATATCTAAATTATTTTATCATTTAACTTAAATTAATTTATATACATTTTGTCCATTTACACCTCTATAAAATTAAAAGAAACCCCTTTATTGTAAAATTTTTCCCAAAATACTCAAATTCTATCTTTAAAGTTTTTCCTATTCAACTTATTTGTAAATAAATGTAATGTCCAGAAAAAATTTCTAATCCATTAATTCTTAAATTATTATTTATTTATCGTAAGTCTCTTAAAAACTGCTTTAAAGATCTCAAAATCAATGAGCTGGACAAAACCCACGTATATAAACTCTTAATTTAATTTTTTTTGGCTATTTTAACAGCCTAATAATCAATTAAAAACACCTAATAATTTTCAAATTTATCTAGCTCTAAATTTATTTTTCATATCAGATCTAAAAAATATCAAAAAGAAAAAAAAAAGATGAAGATTTGGATCACTTACTTAATTTTTAGAAGCCTTGAAATCCACGGAATTAAACTTCGGAACCCGACAACACTCACTACGATTAACTCTCTGAGTCTGAATCTGCATAGGAACTACGCCCCATATACGCCGCTGACTGAAAAGAAGAAATTGGGATGTGACAGCACACGTGTAAAGTTTTTATATGTTGTTAATTTTCATTTGGTCACAGTACTGTAGGCTTCATTTATCTAACAAAAACAAATATGGAATCCTTTTGATCTAAGTAACTGCTTCATCTGGATAATTAACTAACAAAATGGTGGGACACGTTAATAATTGCCAGCCTGATTCACACGCCAACAATATCTTATATGCTTTTCTTCACGACTTGATCATGATCAATTATATATGTAAAATGCAGCAAATATATTGGAATGAGTTAACAATATGGAAAAAATTTTACATGGACCAAAAATACTATACTCATACTTTATCCAATAAAATTATATGAATTCAATCAAATAAAAATTAATGTGTCATTGTTGTTAAATAATTTTTTTAGTTTCTTATCTTTTCTCTCTTTATCATTATCATGAAGAGAAAAGATAATAAATTAAAATAATTTAAGATGACATAAATGTGATGTAACATGTAAGATTAAATGAATTTCACATAAATGTGATGTAACATGTAAGATTAAATGAATTTCACATGGCATGGCTTCTTCTTTTTTTTGTGTGGATGAATTTGGAAAAAAAGAAAAAAAAAATATGGCATGTTTTTATTAAGTGGTATAAAAATGACGTGGCCTCAAAGATATCCTTAATTCAACTCACAGGCCCAATTAATTATATTTAACAATCCAAGCAACCTGGATGGTTATTCATGTATATATATAGAGGGCCTATAATCAAATGATAATGATAGTCACGGACGCTCCAGCTCCCTACCAAGTTGCAACTTGGACGTCATCTTTAGATTTGTGTAATTAAAAAACCATTGAACGTCACACAAGTCATATAGACCATAACATTTGTAATTGTTAACTAATTCACAGCTTGAGAAAAATGTTACGTGTTCTTATTATATTTATAAGTTATTTTCAATATTTTTATTAAAATCAAAAAAAATATTAAATTTCATTAATTCTATTTAAAAGTTCAACAAGTTTTTAACGTCATGATTATCAAATATATTTACTTTAAAATAAAATACACTAACATTTATAACTCATTTAAATTTTAACTGAGTATAATTAATTATGAAAAAATTAATTAATATAATTAATTATGTCATAACATGATCATGTTTGGATATTGTTTTTTTAAAATTGACTTTGACATAATTAAATATGTTTGGATGATCTACTCAAAATAAATTTAAGATGCATAATTCACCATAAAGGATATTGCTTTTGAAAATATAAATATTAAAAAGTTGTATATAATATTATCAAATTTGTTAAACTTTATTTAAAAAGTAAAATTTATTATTTAACTTATAGAGCTAATTAATTAATAGATATTTAAATTATATTATATTGTAATATTAATAATTTAATTTTGGTTAAAAAAAAAAGGGATTGAATGTGTTAATATATCTAAGAGACTAAGATGTGGCTCAGGTTCAAGGATCGACTAATGAGATCCGGAAGAGAGCAAGAGCGAAGTGGGACATCATAGAGTTCGCCTTCTAGTTGATGGTTGGTGCCGGGATCTTCGGGCTCACTGGACCAACCATTGTGTTGCCATATATGTTGCCTCCGGCATCTACTCCATGCTCTTCACATGTCTTCTACTACACTAAATTTGCTGTAGAAATCCATGTTGCAGGCGAGACTGAAGAAACTCATGTGCTTCAAGTTAAGGTTTAAGGGTATATTGGGTATATCCGGGCGGGCGGAAGTTTCTAGCAAAGAATAGATTCTGAAAGTTACACCTCATTAATTGATTATGGGCTAAATGGAAGTGTTTGGGTTTTTTCTTTTTGTTTTTTTTTTTTTACCCAAACCAGGGTTTTAGTGCCAATAATTGATTATATAGGCAAATTCAAACACAAATTTAATAAATTTTTTTACATTTAATAAAGGTAAAATAGTAAAAATGAATATAATAATTGTTGAAATACTTTATAAATAAAATCAAAATAAATAATCTTTCTTTACCTTATAAATAAGATCAGATGAGCAATTGAACCTTTATTTTTAAAAAAATGTAGACATCTTTTCATTTGTGCCTTTGAATTTTTCTAATAACATGTGCATATTATTTAAACATAAAGCATTTAAAGACAAAGAATGTTAAAAAAAACACAGGTATAAATGGGGGAAAATATAAAATTTATGCAATGTCATATATTTTGAACTAATGGATGCTTCTATAAAATGATTTATATTGTAGTTTGGAGGGAGAATATAACAATAAATTGATAATTACGAAATGTTTTTTTAAAAAAAAATGAATGAACAAATTTTTAGTATGGACGCAATCTAAGCTCTGAGTGATTGTTAAATGGGGTCAGGAAAATTGTATTGGGCCGTCTATCCTTTCGGCCTAACCTTGCGCAACCGAAAAGACGAAGAAAATACGTTAGGTTCATAAGCTCCGTACGACATTGTCAATCACATTACTTATGGAATTGCAGGTTGAAAAATAGTTTGACGTTGTGTTTTGACTCTTCACTTGATAAGGATAAAAGAATCTTGAAAGTTAAAGGCAAAGTTGTGTTATTGTAGAATCAGTGTCTGTATGTGGAAGAAAAAAATGAAATAATTGAAAAGGAATAGAAATAATGCAATAAATGAACGTGGATTGGTTGCTACTACTCCAACCATTGAGTTGGTTTATAAGTAAATAAATATGGAGGAGATGTGAACATGAAATCAGAGAACATAAATAGAGGGGGAGGAGGGTCGTTTGGTTCTCATGAAGTCCTTTTAAATGTGGCTGTTCTTGGGTCTCATTTCATTGAAATCTCTTGAGCCCCACTTCTTTCTCACTCCCTCCAAGCCATAAATATATAACATTTTTTTGAAAACCTTGTTTGTCTCAAAATATAGAGTATTGGATAACTTTTATAATTATTTTTCTTATTATACTCCTACTTTATTTATTATTCTTTTTTAAAAAGTGATATATTTGAATTTTAATTACTATTATTAAAGCTCTTATATAGATTTTTAATTAGAGCATAATTGAAAGAATGTAAAATTTTAAAAAATTAAAATTTCAATTAACATTTTTTTAAAATTATGAACTAGTTACTAATACTCTATATTTTAATTTGGACAGAGCATGTTTTAATGTCTTGAGAATGGCCTTGTCTCTCCATTTCAGGTCCTGACAGAGATGGCTAGAAATTACTTCCACAGATCCTTTTTTTAAATCATTTCATAAAAATTAAATAGTTGTTATATCATGCATTGCGTAATAAATATAAGAATATATTTTGGTGGATATTGAAAGGTTTTGTAGCAAATTAAAGCTGAGGATTCCCCTACTCCTTCCCTCTAATTTATTAAATACCAACCAAATACGGGAAGGATAATAACTCTCCTCACCTTTCCTTCAAAAATCTCTAACCAAACACTCCCTAAGAAATGTAGTTAAAAATAATTTGTATAATTAAAATGGTAGAAAATTATCACTATTTTTAATTAAAAGCAATATATTTTAATTATTTGTAATTTGTATAAAGTCTTTCTATAATATAATTAATAAAAGTATTCGTGAAACTTTTATTTTTTAAATAAGTGTAATATTCCTTTGGTCAAAAAATATTTTTTTAAATGAGTTTTTTTTTTGGGTTGAAAAATGAGGGTTGAAGGGGAGAAAGTAGGCAAAACATATGACTGATCACATGGATGCAAAAGAAGAAAATCCCAATAGGAATTGCCATTGGCCAAGTAGGTAGGATGGAGGCTTAGAGAGGAACTAAAGCCTTGTTTGATATACAGGCCTTAATTTAAAAAGATCTATATTGAAATTGGGACTAGCATTAGTAATGGGAATGAGAGTGATAAGGAAGTTTTAAAATTATATTTAGTATGGAGTAGTATTGATAGAAAATACTTTCTATCATTTTATTTTATAATTAAACATAAATTATAAAAATAATATAATACCCCTTAAATTAAAAAAAAATTGTAACCCTTGCTCTTCCAATCAATCTCCTTCTCAGCTTCCCTGCAACCATGGCAGCGCAAAAGGCCACTACCTTTGCTCTCTGACCATGCACAAAAGCTCTTTCCACCACTCTAGCCTCCTTGTTGTCTTCTTCCTCTACTTCTTATTGCCCATCATGACTCTCCTCTCTCTTCTTCTTAGTATTTCCAATGTCTTGCTTTTCGGTCAATGCCGATTCCTCTTCCCTCTTCTACTTCCTCAAGATAGACTTTGGAACAATAGCCTTAACCTCCTCACCCATCTATGAAAGAAAATAAATATACAAAGTTTGATTACAATGAAATAACAAGGATGATTTAGGCTAAAACATTTAATCATATGGAAAAATAAAGTAGACACTATCAAACTTGGACAAGGTTTATTCAAAAAATTTTAGTAGGCCTAACGAGGCAATACTCATCAATTTGTTTCAAAGCAAAAACATAAAGTGAACCAAAATAATAGATAGAACCCATAAAATGAAAGAAGAAAACAAAGAAAATGAGTGTTATCAATGCTAATTTTCTCATCCAAGCTAAGTAAAAGACTAGAGGAGATTGACGGAATCAGGACTTTGTCAATGATGGGGATGAGTGTTTTGCCAGCATTGCGAAGAAGATTGACAAAATTTAGAGGGGCACTTTTGTCTGAAATTATTATGAACAAGGATGGCTTTGTCTCATAATTTTCCAATCCCAAGACAAATTTTTAAATATTAGATGGAGGTGAGTTTGAGTAATTCCTTCTAAGTGGTACTAAGCAATCTCAAGCTAATCTCAATTACTCATACCAAGCATACCAAATTGGGCCATTCCTAATATAAGTCTCAAATCCAACCCTCCATTCATTCCTACCAAACAGGGCCTAAGTATGGTTAGTTGGTGGGGTCAACTTAATTATTTTTTATCATATATTAAGTGTTTTCCATTATAGGTAATTATATTCATGATACCATTAAATTATTATTTTTTATTATGGTCGCAACATAAGCTTGGAGCGATTGTTAAATCAGGTCATGAAAATTGTATCGGGCTGATTATCCTCTAGGCCTAACCGTACACAACCGAAAAGATGTACATTTTTGGGCACACAAAAACCATTGGAAAAATGACAATCAAGTTTTAAAGAAAGTAATTTATTTAAGATAAATCTTAAGAGATTCAAAAACTCCACATAAGTCCCATAATCCTTCAGTGATCATAACTAACAAGCAATAATACTCAATTACCCTTATAAAAAATCCTAATCATGCACCAGTATTATGATGTTCTCTCAAAAACTCATGCTCTCGAGTCTCGAACCTAAATACATCCCTTTTGAAAACAATAGTGTGCCCTTATTCCTTATTTCTGACGTCTCCTCCTCTATCATCATAGTGGGTAGATACAACCACTAGTTCTGCCATCTGTTGTTCACTACTTAATGCTATCAAGCTTCAATCCTCTGAATCAATGGAATGGAGGAGCCCTTTAGTGATTACACTTCTTCAAAACTCCAATAGTCTCAAAAGTTTTAGTGAGAATGACATTTAACGCCCTCTCAAGAAAATTTGTTGCAATAAGAGCCCATCAATTTTGCATCAAATATTATCTTGTGAAAACACAACTTTTAACAATAACATATACGTGTTTTCACAAGACAATATCCGATGCAAAACCAATAAGTCCTTATTGTGATAAATTCCCTTGAAAGGGTTTTAAATGTCATTCTCCCAAAGTTTTAACCATATCATAAATGTAAAACATGTTACAGTGCTACTACACATATTGGGAATGAAATGAAGGCATACAAAATATTACTTACAGTTGATTCATGCCGAATTCGATGTGGGTATGCAAAAAGCTTTTCAAAATCCTCCTATTCCACATAGGAATCATTATTAGACAGGAAATACACAAGTTATGAACCCAAAGGAGAAAAAAAAGAAAGAAAAGAAAGAAAGAAACTAAGCTTTCAAGAACTTAAGCTATAAGCTTTCACTTGACCATATAAAAATTACCAAACCCTTGTATGTAATTTTGTGTGTTGGGCTGATAGATTTTGCAACGATGGCAACAAAAAATTAGCAGGATAAATAGGTTTTATTGACTTCTAGCATTATATATTACCATATCAACTTTATTGACTTCTAGCATGAAGAAAGATTGTATATCTCCATATCAATATCAACTTATAAGAATTTAAAATTATATTACCATTGTAGATGTAAGAGGTTTTTTATTTGCCAGAACTATACAACAACCCATATGAATGACTTCTTTTAGCATAATGACAGTGTCAGAACTGGCAGAGCAATCTACACAGACCAGACCTACATCAAATGATTCAAAAGCATTTTTATTAATGATTGAGAGCATAAGTATACTCTTATTTTGATATATCTTTGCATTAAGTCATTGGAAGAAATGAAATATTTAACAAACCTGTTGATTTTCCAAGTTGAGAGGCAATTTCCAAAATTTTTTCTTGTGATTCTAAATGCCCATATACCTGGCATTTATCTTTAAATATGAATCAGTAAATAAGCATAAAAAATATAGATGTAATCATACATGAACCATGTCAAGCAAATAGGCCTACCAAAATCTCCAAGTATTGATAGAGAGGAACCATTTTTCTTGACTTGACAAGCTTTCAATAAGAGGCTGTCATCCAAATCCTTGTGCAGCAAATCCCTTGTGACAACCAAACATTGGCTATCACAAATTCCCACAACTCTTAAGTAAAATCCCTGTCACAGAAGGTAAAATATAAAAATTGAATATTTTTTAACTTAAGCAACCCACTCAACTGTCACAACTATATCACTCAGAGCAAGCGTATGAAACAAAATCAGCGAATGCAAACAAATACAAATACCTTAAAAGAGTGAAGAGAACGGGTGTTGATAATGTGTTGGAGAAGATAACGCCCAACGCCTCCACAACCCATTAATATTAGAGGAATATTCTTCATTTGTGGTTGCTTTTCAAAGACTTTGGATCAAGCTATCAAAATTTTCGTCAATGCTGGTAGAGATCAGTACAGTAAGGATACTGAAAAGTTTGATAAAGATACCCTACAGTGGAGAAATCCAGAAGTGTCCTGAAAGTACAGAAATATTGGCCCTTTGATCTTATGAACATAACAGATCAACCCAAACCATTCTAGCCGCTCTAACATGGCTTAATCTGGATGGTTGACGGCTTAACAGCACAAATCAAAGTTGAAAACCACCATTTGACAGTTTCATTTCAGTGTGTTAATTCCCTAGCAATGGAAGTAGATGGAATGAATGGAAGGGAAATGGGCATCATCACGAGAAGAAGAATGTAGGTTAAATCTGGCTATTTTTAAACAAAATTTCAGTCTCCCTCAATTTTCTTCTTAGTTTACATTAGATATAGAGTATGAGAATATGGTTATTTATTAATTTATGACAGGAAAATATTGTGAAAAGATCGATTGTAAAAAGGTCCTGAGGTACCGAACTCTCCAATTTGGAGAGGGCAGGACAAAATAACTGAAGACAACCGTGCCCGAAAAAGATCATCATTGTTGAATTGCAAAGACCAAAGCCACTTCTCAAGCACCAGCGTTTCATCACTTTCACATAGGTTCGCCTCCAAATAACCAACAACTATAGTGCTTCATTAGTGCTACCAAACAATAAGAGATAGTAACAGGACTTAACTAATGTCTTCCATTCAGAATATCTTGCATAGTTCAGTTGGAAAAGGATAGACTGATCAAGTTATGTTTGCAAAACAACGCTTAAATTTACTATTTAAACAATTTACCAGATGGAGAAAAAAAGTGATACAATGGAGAAAATCAGATGCAAACAGCAGGACCACATTGGAAGGGATAGGGAAGACACTTCACCTCTGCCAACGGAGATGCAACCAGACGACGGAGCGACGGAGCCAGCCGACGACGACACAGCCAATGGAGGCGCGAAAGGAACTGCATAGGCGCGAAAGGATAGTAGTGAGTGACATAGTCCGTGAACCACTGCTTGAGGGCATCCCATATGAGAAGGCCGTCGTTGGCAAAAGGGTAGTCTTCTATTGTTAGCTTCAGGCCATGGGGTGCATTAGGATCTTTTTCTGCCATTCCTCTGTAACAACAACGACGACAACAATATCAGCATCAGCTTACAAAGCACAAGCATGCTTATTTTGAGGCCTGATACATGTGTTGAATGGTATTGTTATGACTTCATACCAACATATATCCATCGAAACACATCAATCGAGGGAAAATATGATTTTAAAATAAGATACTAGGAAGAAAAGAAAAGAAAAGATGATAAAACTCACATACGCATATCATAGCTAAAATAAAATTATGTTTGATCTTGGATATGTGCCACATGGACACATTCTAATGAAGCCAAAAGGCATAGACTAAGATTCTATAATTTCCACTTTGACATAAAAGTTTTTAAGGTTTTGGGACTTCATTCTCAAACTTTTAAACAATAAAGACCAAAAATAAAATCATGTGAAATTAAAGAGACGAACAAATTGACAAAATTTATCCAGTAATTCCTTTTAAGACTCTATCACTAGATGGAAAGTCGTGAGCATATATGTACCTGTCAATAAGATCATTGGGAAGTGCCTGCAAATCAAACCTCCAAAGCTGGTCATACACTTCAGAGCTGAACTCCATAGAATATTTTCCAGTTGAGAAAGAGATCTCAATGATGCCATTAGCACTAATGAGTGCTTGACGAGCAAGAGCATTGATCTCCATTGTATATCTCAAATGAGGGTGCAGCAATCTGTAAATAGGATGCATCGCACTGAGCTGTCTGTTTGTTGCAATCACAAATGGTTCTACAGCACAGTGACTTCTTAGCCTGCAAATGTTGGCATACATATTTTAGTCTTTATCTTAATTCAGAGGTAATTCTAAACTTCTATTGAGCCCTATCAAATGGAAGCTCATGCTTCAACAAGAAATCACAAATGTACTTTACTATCATGACATTATTTGCAGACCAACAGACCATATAGTATCATTACCAAAAAATGAAAAAGATCACCTAGTATTACTTTATTGCCTTTGCAATGAAATTTAAACAAAATCAAACTTTTCAATGTGGAAAACATCCATTGAAAACTGATTGATATTAGGCAGTCTCAGCGATGAATAAGAGGTTATACTCATAAATAAACTAATTATTGGGTTCATTTCTCAAGATTGGTAAAAACATAAATTAGCCTTTGAGAACAACATAAATCCTCTTAGCATCCCTCTGTTACTTAACGAAAAATACTAGTTGGCAAGATATTTATTATTTTCAAGAATTAATTCTTGCCTTCACTATTCTTTACCAGTGATTTAGCAATGATTCAATACATGTTATGTCTGATATTTCATGCTTGATGAATTAATATGAGCATATCAGTGCCTGTGTTTCATAAGTTACTCTATGCATATGAAAGATAGGTAAAAGATAAAGGCGAGATGATACAGACCAATGGCTGACAAGTTCATGGACACCAGAATCATGGGCAAGCACATGAGCTTTGGCAAGTCTCCAAAGCCAAAGATTGGTGGAACCACTGGAAGGCGTGAAGACTTGCCTCCATTGTGGCTTCCCATCCATTGGTGGTCTAGTTAGCTCAATAGCCAGTGGCTTCAGTGTGCCTTGTGCGGTCAAGAAGAACACTGTCCTTGATCCATACAATGTTCTTCCCTCGAGTTGCCTCACTTTGCTCACATATGGAAGCAGTAAATCATGGTAATCTATGATGAACAACTTCTTCTCTTCAATGGCCTGCATTGCATGCACACACACACACACACACACACTCTCATCAAACAACATTATGGACAATGTTTCACTGAAATGGCTGGTTAGTCAGTGAAAACAATGGTCTGTTTTTTCAACTGTGATCAGAACGTGCTTGGATAATATATGTGTTTTGTTAAAATTATAACATGCTGGACTAATCAAATTATCTGTAACATTGCTTAACAACCATGTTCAGTTAATTTAATAGAGTACCTTTTCAACCGTGGTGTAGCCACTTATCTGTTGCTCAATTACATCTCTGGTGATCGCTGATTCAGGGGGACCATAAATAGTGGGGTTTAACTTACTTATCAGTGGCCATTCCTGCATGATAAATAATAAAATAGAACCAGAAGAAAACATGTAAAATTATTGAAAAAATATAAGTAATATAATTAAAAAAGGGTATACATTCATGTCAATTCATACCTTAACCAGTTTTATGCTACAAGGGTTAACACCTGCCAGAGTCTCTCTGGCAAATTCCTCATCAGAAAACCAAAAGAATTCATCCCCTGCAATTCCAAATTTCACAAACATATTAAGTAAAGCGAATTACAGACAATGAATTAATTGGTGATAAGATTATTTATGAGCTCTTTTCTGTTGGCTTAAACTTTTGAGTCAAATTATACTCACTGTCAATAGTATCAGGGGCCTCGAAGCGCAAGACTTGTTGGCTACCTGAAACAACTTGAATGAGCTTGGGAATGAACGTCTGAAGGAGTCCATTGCCACTGTTCTTAAGAGTTGGCACCTCAAATCCATCTTTGAAAAGCATATCTATTTCTGAGAATGTCAGAAATCCAAGGTTTTGGTCTACCGCCGCCGCATCTAAGGATTGTATCAGTGCACTCACCCCTGCGGATACTGTGGTTGCGGTGAATTGAGTCTGTTTGGTCTCTGAGAATGCTTCGTCGCGAGGAACGTACACACTTAAACTCCTCTTCTCTGAAGATGGGTCTGCCATATCACAGGATAGTTCCATTAATTAATTAATTAATTAATTATGGGAGAAAAAAACTTGGAACATAAAGCCAATGCAGAGAACTGAGCAAGGAATGAAAAGAGTGAAGAGAGAACCTGCAGAAGAAGGTTTGCGACCAGTGCGACAGCGTCTAGGGTAGGGATGCCGGGAACCACCAAGAACGGGTCTGGTGAGGTCGACGTTGGAATCAGGGTCGCCAAGGTCGTTATAGACGTCATAGTCGTATATTCTATCGGAACTCTTTCTTTCTCCGTCGCCATTGCCTCTCACCTCCGCCAGCTCCTCCTCTCTCAGCCTTTTCAGGCCACTTGGTGTCTCCGATGGCAAATATGACTGCGTGCATGCCCATGCACAACCCACTTTTAATTTCTCTACTCTCACATTAGTTGATTAAACTACGCATTCACAATGCAATATTAATATGCAATGTAACTTGTTAAATTTCACATCATTTTACTAGCTTTTAGTTGAGAATTTGATTTACCAAAACTTTATAATAATCAAATAGTCCCAATATCCTTACTAGATAAAAATGCTCGATATATTATATTAAATATATAAATAAATAATATAGTGAATATTATTTGAGTAATTTTAATTCTTAAACTATTTAGTTAGCAATAACACCATTATAATTTATAGGTATTTGTTTATTATATCTTATAAGTAATTTTAAATTTTTGATAACATAAGTAATTTTAATTTTGTCGTATATATCTATTCAGTATTAAGCAAATTTCAATCCTATGCTTTGATGAGTCCATTTCTTATTTTTAGGGTAGTGCAAAGTATATGTAAATTTGTTTTTATATACTCCCTCTGTTAAGGAGTTGAATATTTAAAAATATAAAATATTTTTAATTTTTTAAAGTATAATTATTATATTTTTTTTAAAAGTATCCTTATTGATAATGACCCTATATTTATTATAGGGTGTTCTATATGAGTAAATATAAAAAAAGAGGGTTAGTTAAAAAGTAAGTAACTACTTTATTAGGTGTTGAGATTTGATTAAAAATGCCTTATATTTTTTAATGAAGGGAATATAATTTTTCAAATGAGCAAAATAAGACTTCTTAAATGATTTGTAGTAAGATCTACATGCATATCTCTAATATAGTATGGAATAACTATATACTAATGGAATAAAAATTCAACATCCTAAATCTCATAAGTTTTAAAAGAGAGGCATGAAGAGGGTATTAAGTACTTTTTTTAGGACCTTGATTAACTAATTAAGGCAATTACTTAGATGATTTTTTGCCATCCACTTCCACAGCCCTGTTTCGTATGAAAATCATATATTGCAATAAAAAAAGGTATTGTACTCTTCATTTTTATATATAAGAAATAAAAATTATATTACAGAGTTTAAAAAAGTTGACTAGCTATAATAATTATGTTAAAAATAAAAAATGGACTAAAATATTCTGTGTTAATTAATATAAGCATGTATGAATTATTTTTTATTAATGTAAATTATGAAGAGTAATTTAGAAAATAGTTAATAAATACTTATTAAAATAAGTAATTTTTTATTTTTAAAAATAAATAAAAATTAATAATTTTTTTATAAATAAAAAATTGAGAGAATATTTATTTTTAGCAACACCGTGTCACAGTAAAAGAAAAGGCAACAACCGGCTTTATCTTATTACACAGCGCACAGGCACGGGATGGATTATATCACGTTATTATATTTTATTAATTATAAAATCTTTTGACTAATTGTTAACCAAATATTTAAGGACGTAAACCAACAAACAATTTAGGGAAAAAAAAAACAAGAAGAAGAAGACGGATTCATTATTGAAGGAATCACATCCAAGAATGACCATTTAATCAAATTAGTCATATACAAAGATAAACAAAAAGTGACATTCAAAAAAAAAAGGTTTACATTTCTGTTTTAACAATAATTAATTTTATATTGATCATTACCAGTGAATAGTATATTTGAGTAGTCTATGAACGTAATTCTGAATTAATTAATTTTGTGGAGGTTTGAACTCACCACATCTTACGCTTACTGATCTATATGTCCAAGTCATTAGCCTTAACGTGAGCGAACTAATTAATGAGGAGTAATTTGAAAAGAAAGGAACCTTATGATTGGAGAAGAAGACTCTGAGGAGAGAAGGCTGGATCCATGAATCGCAGGTGAAACGCAGAGGGCCCTGAGGGAAGCCGTCGAGAAGAATGTCGTGGAGGAACATCTCCTTGCTGTGGTCATTCCGCACCAGAACCGCCCCCACCTCCCCAAAATCTCTGGGCACCTCAAACGACGCGTCGTACAACGATATCTCCTTCTCCGTCTTCCCTGTCCTTCGCGCTTCCCCTTTGATGGTGGTCTTGTCTGCGTTTGAAGGCACCAGCTCAATCCTCAGAGACTTGCCAAACAAGTCTTTAAGCTTGGACACTCTGGCCGTCCCTTTAACCTTCCAATGATTCTCCATTGTTCTCTCTTGTTCTCTCTTATCAATGTGCTTGTTCATGCCAATCCCGTCATCGATATCTCCTCCTTTATAGGCTGCTTCTGTCGGCTTTTCTTGTGTGGACCTTCCTTCATGGACTGTCTCTCTCACAAGGGATAGAGAGGTGAGAACCGGACGCTCTTGTTCATCTCATAATTCTCATTCACATGCATTCACCACTTGCAGGCTGACTATTCAATTATTCCCTTTTCAATTTGCTCTCCCTCATTAGTTTTCTGTGGGCTTAGGGATCCCATATCTTTGTTCACCGACGCTATCTGGTTGGCTGCTCCAACTCCAGACCCTTTGTTAAGTTAGGTAAACGCCTTGTCGGTTCATCTAAATGCTTGGTGCTTTAATATGCTGGCTACCCTCTGTTTCCATATATAGCTATATCTGCATACTTTAATTTGTGTTCATAATTTCCACGCTCCACCTTCAGATTATCGCTTGATGTGATCATAATTTCCCAAATCTATTACTTCCACCAATTTCAAGAAGTATTTTGTAGTCTTATTTATAAATTACATTATTAAATTTTTATTTTAAATTTTACTTTTACCCTCGTTAAATATTTGTAAGAAAAAATATGTTATCAAATAAAAATAAAATTAAAAATTTATTAAATTTTTAGACAGTATTAATAAATTTTAATATTTTTTTTAATTTTAATAAAATATGTTAAAATATTATAGAACAGGTGTGCGAGTTTTCGTTACCTCTTAGAAGTAAAAAAAAAAATATATTTTGATTTATATGCAATAATCGAAAGGAGCCTCGTGGTCATCATGCATGAAGCTTACCGTAGTTGACAAGTCGATAAGCCAAGAAAGAGTTTGTTTTAATAGTATGTACTGCAACTGAAGTCGACTCCAAGATTATTTGCCACGTTCATGCCCCCTAAACTTAAATATTTATTTTGTATTTTAACTCCTCAATAATACACGAGTTTTATTAGATCCGCCCATGCGGTGAGTCGATAACAAATCTTAAGTACATAAAATACAGAAATGAAATTGATGATCAGTTTAAATTTAAAAAAAAAACTGTTTTCAGAGATAAAAGCTGGTGCTCGCAATTTTTAGGAAATAAGTAATGCAATATAGTATATGAAGTTGATTTCCCATACAAGGCGTAAAGCACAAACAAGCTACAAGTAATTTCTTACACGAAAAAGTTTTTTCCCCTTAATAACAACGATTCTTTTATAAATACCCACCAGTCATCTTCTTTCTTTAATAATGCAAATGATGAATACTATTTACTTCTAGGCAGAATAGTAAGTTAGAGTAGTTTTATTTATTAACGCCCGACCTTTACAGGTGTCTTGTATAAATACTCCAACAGACTATTCAATAAAGTAAGAGATTCATTTCTCCTTTTCCATTATTGCTCATGGTACGAGCCAACTGGACCCTAATCTATAAGCTCATAAATGTTTAGGTTGGGTTCTAAATTTATTTTTAATATAATATTATTTTTTAATTTTTAAAAATAATTTAATAATTTAATTTTTATAGTTAATAAAAATTAATTTTAATTATTAATTAATTTAAAAATGACAAAAAAGATTTTATAAATTACAAACAATGATTCAAAAAAATACAAAAAAAATTTTAAAAATACAAAAAAAATTTTAGGTCATTTTCAAATTAATTAATAATTAAAATTAATTTTTATTAATAATAAAAGATAAATTGTATTATTTTTAAAAATTGAGAGGTAACATTATATTATAAATACATTTAAACTCAAGGCCAATTTTTTCTTTTATTCCTATCCTTATCTACATGCAGAGGATTTGAACTTTCTAAGCCTCCAAGGCTCCAAACATGTGCTCTTTGTCGCGTGTGAAATTTGCCTTTTGTTTTTTAGTTTGTTAGTCATTGTAATGACTATGTCACGAAAATGACTTTTGAACGAAACTGGCTTTGTCGACTCGTTTAATCCATACTTCATTATCCAGGATTTTTTTTTATTGCTTTTCTGAAAATGTTATGGATAAATTGAAATAATATGGTCTAGTCAGCATATAGTATTAATTTTTCAAGTTAATACTTTCATAAAATTATATTTTTAATTAAATATTTTATAAATTTCACATATAAAATTACTTTCCTATCCGCTGCTAAAAAATGGATGCTTTAGTATAATGTTTTCACTGCGATTATAACAAATAACAGTTAGGTATGTTTGAGTTGGTAAATGAAAATTCGAATTTTAGATAAATGTTAAATATAAAATTAATGTATTTTAAATTCATAAGCATATAAGTAAATCCGAATCTATAAATTTTTAAATGCCTAAACAAGAGACAATTTTTAATTTATTATAAAAATAAAATTGATTTCTTCTTTTCGAAAAAAAAAATGATTATCTCATTTCTGCATCAGAATATTTGCTTCTTGTGTGTTAGTACTGAAGATCATACAACGCATTTTCCAAGATTAAAATAAGCTCAAAATATGTTCTTAAATTACTAAACTATTTAATTTTAGCCTCGAAATATAATGTTGACACGGTTACTAGCATCTCACCAGTTCATTAGTTTCAACCACTAATCTCTTGGACTAGAGCCAGTTCGACATAAACAATCCAAGGATCAAATTAAGGGCAGTTTATTTTAGCTTATTTTATGAAAAAATTACTTAATTTTTTTAAAAAATTGTTTTGTAAATTTTTATTATATTTGTTTAAACTTTTAAAAATAATCATAATCTGAAAAAGAATTTCTGAGTAGCTCCTTAAAATAATCTAATGCGATGGATAAAAGAGGTTATTTTAAAAATGCATGATACGCAAAAATATTAACAAGGTAAAAATAATTTATTTTTATAAAATAAAATTTAAGGAAGATATTATAAAATTTAAAAGCAACTAATTAATAATCATTTCTTATTATTCTAATCAAATATAAACAATGTTTGTTTTTTATAAAATATTTACAAAATAAATCTAAGCTACATAAAAATCACTTATTTTTTAATCTTAAACAAACGATTTTAAATTAAACAACATTACTTTTCTGCCTAAATCATGCTACTGATTCAAATTGATATGCTATTTGGAATTCCCTTTCCAGTAACCCCAGGACCAGAAAATGGCTTCATTAGCTCATAAGGCACAATCCCAGCTCCATTTCTATTCTTCAACTTCTCATCGCCATTCCTGGCGTCTATAATCTCCTCAATCTCCTTCAGCCTCCCATTAAACCTCCCAAAGGCTGCCTCTATGGTTGGATCCTCAGCCCATGAAGGCTCTATCTTCTGCCCTATATACTCTTCATCTGGGGAATGATCAGATAGCAGATACAGAATAGCCATCACTACAGTGGCCTGAATCTGTGAAGGGAAGCTCTCCAAAAGGAATTGCGCAGGATCCTTAAGAAATCTCTCCCACTCTTCCTTTGAAGTGTCCTCTGTAGGCATCTTGTTTCTGGCAATGGAGGGTCTGTTAGGGAAGTAGCCCCCATAAGCATATTGAGCAAAGTTCACAGAAGCATGATGAGCTGAGGCTAGCCAGGCTACGGTGGTGAGGATCTGAATTAGGTCCTGCGGGGTTTGGAGATTTGGCCACCATGGCTCATTCTTCTTGTCTCCATGGCCCACCATTCTGATCTCAGTCCACCATGCTTGAAGCTCCTCGTCTGACTCTATGAGGCTTGGGTTTGGATAGTAGTGAGTGACATAGTCCGTGAACCACTGCTTGAGGGCATCCCATATGAGAAGGCCGTCGTTGGCAAAAGGGTAGTCTTCTATTGTTAGCTTCAGGCCATGGGGCGCATTAGGATCTTCCTCTGCCATTCCTCTGTAACAAGAAGAACATCAGTTTCAGTATCGGTATCATTTGGGGAGAAAAATGATTTTAAAATAAGATGCTTTGAAGAAAATAAAAGATGATAGAACTCACGTGGACATGTCATATTAAAATAAAACTATGTTTGAGCTTGGACATGTGCCACTAAGATACAATCTAATGAAGCCAAAAAGCAAAGACTAAGATTCTATAATCTTCATTTTGGCATGGAAGTTTTTAAGTTTTTAGGACTTCATGCTCAAACTTCTAAACAATAAGACCAAAAATAAAATCATGTGAAATTAAAGAAACCAACAAACAATTTATCCAGAAATTTCTTTAAGACTGTATCTCTAGATGGAAAGTGATGAGCATATTTGTACCTGTCAATAAGATCATTGGGAAGTGCCTGTAAATCGAACCTCCAAAGTTGGTCATACGCTACAGAGCTGAACTCCATAGAATATTTTCCAGTTGAGAAAGAGATCTCAATGATGCCACTGGCACTGATGAGTACTTGACGAGCAAGAGCATTGATCTGCAATGTATATCTCAAATGAGGATGCAACAATCTGTAAATAGGATGCATCGCACTGAGCTGTCTGTTTGTTGCAATCACAAATGGTTCTACAGCACAGTGACTTCTTAGCCTGCAAATGTTGACATACATATTTTAGTCTTAGTCTTAATTCAGACGTAATTCTAAACTTCTATTGAGCCCTATCAAATGAAAGCTCATGTTTCAACTATAAATCACAGAAATGCTTATACTTTACAACCATGACATCATTTGCTGACCAACAGACCCCATGGTATCGTTATAAAAAACGAATTAAAAGTGTTACCTAGTAGTATTATTTTGTTGTGTCTACAATAAAATTTAAAAAAAGAAATCAAACATTTCAAAGCGGTAAAAAACTATTTAATGAACTGATTGACATTCGGTGGTCTCAGAGAGATGAATAAGAGGTTATACTCATAAATAAACTAATCATTTGGTTCATTTCTCGAAATTGGTAAAAACATAAATAGTCTTTCAGAACAACATAAATCCTCAAAGCAATATCCCTCTGTCACTTCACAAAAGGACTACCGGCCAAGAAATTTATTATTTTCAAGAACTGATTCTTGCTTTCATTATCATTCAACATGGACTTAGCAATGATTCAATACGTGTTATATCTGATATTTCATGTTTGATCAGTTAATGTGAGCATATCAGTGCCTGTGTTTCTAAGTAACTCAGTGCATGAAAGATGGATAAAAGATAAAAGCGTAAAGATACAAACCAATGGCTGATAAGTTCATGGACACCAGAATCATGGGCAAGCACATGAGCTTTGGCAAGTCTCCATAGCCAAAGATTGGTGGAACCACCAGAAGGCGTGAAGACTTGCCTCCACAGCGGCTTCCCATCCATTGGTGGTCTAGTTAGCTCAATAGCCAGTGGCTTCAGTGTGCCTTGTGCGGTCAAGAAGAACACTGTCCTTGATCCATACAATGTTCTTCCCTCGAGTTGCCTCACTTTG